AAGGAAGGAAGAAAGGAAGGGAGGGAGTGGAAGAGGGAGAGAGAAAGAGAAAGAAGGAAAGAAAGGAAAGAAGGAAGAAAAAAACGAAGAAAAGGAAAACAAAAAAGAAATTGTTTCAAGCTTTACAGTAGCAAAGCCACTCTGTGATGAATAAACAACAAAACCAAAACAAAAAAGGATTCTACCAACCAATCTAACCAACAATACAATTATAAAGTTGATTCGAATATCAAAAACCAATTTCAATACTAAATATATGCTATGAAAACTCCACAAAGATCAAGTAGGATGTATTATACTTGAATGAATTTATGAGCTGAGAGCAGGAAATCTATAAATTTAATCAAACAAATCTAAGAATTATGAGGAAATTGTACTGCTAATGTATTATTTGACAAGCTATTCAGTGGAACACAAAGATATTCTTAATGAAGTTGCATATATATTTTAAAATGTTATCGAGGTAGATTTTTTAAAATGAGGAGATGAATAACTTGAAAAAGTATTCAGGGATAAGGAGAAAAATACATTTAGATTGTTTACATATATAAAATATATTTTAAAAGATAAGCTTGCCTTTTTTAATTCCTTAAATAAAAGGAATGGATATTGAAATCCCATGCCTTTCATTTTTAAATTTAGGAAATGCTTACAGCTTCCCACACTGAAATCTATACTAACACAGCTAATCAATGGATAAGAAAATCAAAACACAGGAAATTCTCTTGACCAATCTATTTTCTTGATTTTTAAAAGTCCAGATGTATACTCAAAGAAAGAAAACGATTAATAATTGATTCTGTTATTTGGAAATATTTACTGATTATTTACTTTACACTAAGTGATCTCCAGCTCATGGAGATAGATCAGTGGAAAAGTATGGAAGCTACCCAGGTTTGTTAGGCTTAAATTCCAATGAGGGAGAAAGGAAGTAATGGAGCAGGTCCTTTGAAACAGGAGTGTTGGCCGGGCGTGTATGGCTTACGCCTGTAATCTCAGCACTTTTGGGAGGCCAAGGCGGGTGGATCACCTGAGGTTGGGAGTTCGAGACCAGCCTGACCAACATGGAGAAACCCTGTCTCTACTAAGAATACAAAAAATTAATTGGGTGTGGTGATGCACGCCTGTAATCCAGCTACTCGGGAGGCTGAGGCAGGAGAATTGCTTGAACCCGGGATGCGGAGTGAGCTGAGATTGTGCCACTGCACTCCAGCCTGGGTAACAAGAACCAAACTCTGTCTAAAAAAAAAAAAAAAAAAAAAAAGGAGTGTTTTGATACGGCTTGGAATTCTAAAAATTGCATACTATGGTTGCTGTGTAGAGACTGGATTGAAGAAAAGGGCAATGATGAAAGCTTAAATTCGTATAGAATATGGCTGGCCTATAATTTTGAGGGTCCCTGAAATAAGAATGTATAATAGTTCTCATTATTTCCTCAAGAAATCTCTGCAGTAGAGCCCTGACCGTGTGAGGGAGGTACTGTAGTTACCAAGTGGTGAGGGTGGGAAGGTGAATTTGAAAACACTATTTGGAATTACTGCACTTTAAAGGTAAAGTTGGCAGGTTTTCCATACACAACAGATCTGAAAATGTGTGTGTGTGTGTGTGTGTGTGAGAGAGAGAGATGGAGAGATAGAGAGATAGAGAGAGAAAGAGAGAGAGAGAGAGAGAGAATGAGAACCAGATACAGAGAGAACTAAAAGGGGACACCAAGAATATTGAGCTGAGAAACTATAAAATGGGAGTTGCCATTAAACAGAAAGGGGAAGAGCAAGTTTGGGGAGTATCGGTGGCTCCATGTGGGCCTTCATTTTGAGATTCCTGACTGACACCTAAGTGAAGAAGTCAGGCGGTGTTGGGTATAGTCCAGTGTTGACGTGTAATATGAAATATCAGGAAATTAATGACACAAAAATTAGTAAAAAAGCAAAGCAAAGATAGATAAGTCCAGGTCCTGAGCCAAGTGCTTCTCTAACATTTAAAAAGTAGTAAAGGTGAGAAAAAAACAGCAAAAAAGGACCAGGGGTAATTATAAAAAATGTTCGGGGGGAAAGTGGGTTAAGTGTTCTGGAATTCTGTTAAAGAAAGTTTTGCAAAAAGGAGGGAGAGATCACCTGTGTCAAATGCTGCTGATACATAAATTAAGACAAAGGCTGAGGAATTACGCTGCAATTCATAATTTAACAATATGACTATTGTTTGTGCTTTGAGAAGAGCAATTTTGTTGGAGTGAGTAGGTAAGAAACCATATTGGAGTCCTTGCTCAAAGGAATGTCTGACCTCTGGATTCTTTTTTTTTTTTTTTTTAAGATGGAGTCTTGCTCTATCACGCAGGCTGGAGTGCAGTGGGCTTGATCTTGGCTCACTGCAACCTCCATCTCCTGGGTTCAAGCGATTCTCCTGCCTCAGCCACCCGAGCAGCTGGGACTACAGGTATGCAACACCATGCCTAGCTATCTAGCTAAGTTTTGTATTTTTTGTAGAGACGGAGTTTCACCACATTGGCCAGGCTGTTCTTGAACTCCTGACCTCGTGATCCACCCACCTCAGCCTCCCAAAGTGCTGGGACTACAGGCGTGAGCCACCGTGCCCAGCCTGACCTCTGGATTTCTAAGGGAATTTTTTATTGAACAGCGGAGGCACAAATTGGATTAGTTTTAATTCTGGGATCAGGACACACGCTAAACATGTGCCTCTGCATGCCCTGCTTTTTTTAAGCTAGGTATTCTACTATCCTTTAATAATATAATAATCATCTGCAAAACCTACGCCCATTTAATTGAAAAACTTTACGAAGACTGATACTAGAGGTTGTTGGAGAGGACGTGGTTTCATGTAATATGAGTCACTGATGGACAAGTAAACTGGTAAAATTTCTTCGGAAAACTGGTCATACTTGTTACACTTAAACGTTCAGATACCAAACACCCAGAAATTCCATATTGTCATATGTTTCCATGAGAAAAAACAAGAGACCTGTATTAAAATATCAACGATTATTAAAAATAATCACACTGGGTTTCATGATTTTTGTGTTAGCAACTCAGTCTCTGCCTGTTTTCAGCAGCACAACCTCTACCCAATATACATTTTGTTTTTTTTTAGTCTACCACTCTCTAAGAACAAATACTATATTTTCTATCAATTCTACATTCAGGGTCTATAACAGAAACCAGCATTTTGTAGATTCCAAAGAATTATTTGTTGAATAACTTAAATACGTTATTATTTATAGTATTTATATACAAATAATGTTATCATCTCAATACAGTGATAACATTTGTTATGCAGAAATTGATTTCAATCTCAGTTAAAAATAGTTTGGGCATATGGGTTACTGTCACATATAAATGGTCACATTGTTTTGTTTATATGAAACTGCTTGTAGTTAATGTACATTTTTGGTACTTAAGCCTTTTGGTCTTGCTGCCATAGCAAATAGTGTGCCGCTTAAGAACATGAACCTGGGCCGGGCGCGAGGGCTTTTTTCTCTTTTTTTTTTTTTTTTTTTGAGACGAGTTTTGCTCTTGTTGCCTAGGCTGGAGTGCCGTGGCACGATCTCCAGTTCAACTGCAACC